CCTGAGGAAGAAGAAAACGCAACAAAAATAGGTTCAAAAAATCCATTTGAGGGAATAATTGAAGAAAATGTCCCTTGCATTGTCAGAGGCTTAAACCAAATACTGCACGTTCTCACTTATATGCAGTAGCTAACAGTCTGCAAAGGCATAAAGAATAGTATAAGGACATTAGAGATTCAGAGGGGGAAAATGGAAAGAGAGGGAGAGATAAAAAAATTACCTATCAGATACTATACAATGTGCACTAATAGGGGGGTGACATGTACACTTAAAGCCCAGACTTCTTCACCATTATATAAAAGCAGCCGTGTAACCAAAAATCATTTGTACCGGTATAGCTATTAAACATAATTCTTTTAAATAAATAAATAAATATAGAAATGAAAGATGAATGGAAAATAACTAGGAAAATAATAAGGAAAGGAGTACTTAAGGATTTAACACTGACCATGAACTACTGAAAAGCACCCTTGCTTGTATGTTGTGTAGTGCTTATGTATGTATTAAAAAAAAGAGAAAACTTTCCAAAAGCTTTTGTTACTTACGCTTTGAAACTGATATGTAGGATGTTACCAAAGGTAGTAAGCTTTGCCTATCACTTGCATCTCAACTGGCATTAAGGTTCTCATTTAATGCATAACATCAGAAGGAAAATTATATTCCTGTTTTAAAAGGAAATGAAGGAAATTCTATACTACGGTGATATCCCTTGCGAATGTCATTATTTTACCATATTTTACTATGCCTTGATTCCACTACAGTAGCTCTCCCCCTTTCAGTTTTTCTGATATAATTCAGAAAGACTTTTGATATCCTTGAAAAAAAAATCTAATAAGAACAGAATTCTCCTTTACTATATCTGATTTCACCCTATATACAATGAAGCTCCATTTTTATGGAACTATGTTTGTAAACAGAGAAAAACATACATATGTATGTATGAGGGGGTACCCCCCAAAAAAAATGAAAGGATTTTTTTGGAGGGAAGACCCTTGTAGTACAGGCTTCTCCGCTAGCTAAGTGTTCTAGGAACCCATTGGCCTCAGTGTACCAGTTAGCGTTGTGAAAGCTTGCATTCGGCTTCAGTGACTTTTTTGGAGAGTCTTTCAATGTGATTGCCCATTTCAGGACAGGCAATTTACAAGCACACTGGCCCACACTGCACTGAGTGATCAGTTTTTGACCAAAACTGGCATGACCCCCATGTCCCACTCTCCCTATTCACCCAGTATCACCCCAGCAACTTTTTGTTTCCCCAATGAAACAAGTTCTCAAAGGGAAACGTTTTGTCCATGTGAAAGAGGTGAAACAAAAAACAGCAGAAGCACTACAAGGCATCAAGTTCAAAACTGCTTAAAAACTGTTTTGAGCAGTGCGAAAAGCAGCTTGATGGGGGTACTACATCAAACGAAGAATACTCTGACTGAGATTTAAACACGTAAAAATAAGCCAGATGTGGTGGCTCACGCCTGTAATACCGGCATTTTGGAAGGCGGAGGTGAGAGGATTGCTGGAGTCGAGGGGTTTGAGACCAGCCTGGACAACTTGGTTAGACCTCGTCTCTACAATAAATAAAAAAATTATCCGGGTGTGGCGGCACATGCCTGTGGTTCCAGCTACTTGGAAGGCTGAGGTGGAAGGATCGCCTAAGTCCGGCAGGTAGAGGCTGCAGTGGCCATGAGTGAGCAACTGCACTCCAGCCTGGGTGACAGAGTGAAACTCCTACTTAAAAAAAAAAAAAAAAGGTAAGAATAAATAATTTTTCATAAATTCCAGGTTTTGGGGGGTCCCCAAGTATATATCTACACATACCTATATATCATGATGAAAAAACGTGGAAAAAGTCCTTTTCCCATCCATCCATCTAAATTCTACTCGATCTTTCCAGGTGAAGTATGTTTCTCAGTCCATTTAATCTCACAGAATCTCAAAATTGGGAGGAACAAAGAGACCACATCCACTCTTCCTACAAAGGAAAGAATCTCTTACAAAACTGTTTTCCTGTCTTTAAACACCCTCACTGAGAGCAGACTACCCATTTCATTAGGAGAAAACTCTAATTCTCTTCTCCATTTGTATTCATTGGTGATTCTTCTGACTGCCTTATCACTATTACAACCTCCACCTTACTCTGCTGTAAGTTACAAGTTATTATTTAACTGACAGTCTTTTTCATTTGATTGTATCCAACAGACAGAACAAGGACTGTCATTTTGGTTTTTGTATTCTTTATGATAAGAATTCTTTCACCTCTTCTTCAATCTCAGTTTAAAGTCCTATTAATTGAATCAATAAGAAAAATGAAACTGAGGGAGGCACAAACGTTACCTGCACAATGACCAATTGTATACCAAATCCTGAATTGTATCCCACATCTTTAAAAGAAAACAAAATTGGCAATCTAACCAATGAAAACATCTTAGCAATGTCCAAAGAACCATAAGGGTATGTACATCTATTCCTAAATATACTAAAGATGCTATTTGTAATATAAAAATGTGAGTGTTTACTGAATAGCCGACACTTCCAGGAAGAAGGAGACCTAAACTTAACTCTTTTTTTCCCAGCTGTGATTTTTCTGAACTTGACTTTCCCCCTTGATTGATTTAAAGATTGACTACTTTGATGAAAACAAAACAGTTCAGTATTATCTACATAAACAGAAGATACTCAACTGATACATGCAAACAATATTTACTATGCACCTACAGTGTTCAAGATGTTATGGACAGACAAATAACGAACTAAACAGATACAAATCCTACACTTGTGAAGTCATATGGGGGGAAGACAGTAAACAAGTAAACTGATAAGTCGGTGCATAATTCCAAACTGCGATGCATGTCTCAAAAGAAACAAAAAATATAACAGACAACAAAAGCAGAGAGCATCATTTTAGATAAGTTGTCAAGGAACACATCTCAGAGGAGTTTATAATAAAGCCAAGGTCTGAATGAACTGCTACCAGTCATAGGAAGAGTTATAGGACCAACACTTTAGGGAAGGAGACTACTAGCACAGCCAAAGGGTCCCAAAATGAATCAGTGGTGGCATGTGGAGGAAATGAAAGATGGCCAGAAAACTGTAGAGTAGTCAAAGAGAGTACGGATGTCACCAAAAAAAGATGAATTCCATTTACACATTAATCCAGACTATGTAGGTCTGACTCTCAACATTCAACTGAAACAACACAGACTCCCTCTTTCCTAAGTAATAGCCTCTCAACTGGCAAATCCAATATTCTTCACAGAACTCAACCAAGTTGAACCTTTGTAGAATTTGACAATGATGCCTGCATCCCACCATCCCTTGACATGCCCTTCTTTTCTAGTGGTTAAGATCACTGGTTCTTACTGTATTGGTTCAAATCCTGGTCCAGTCACTTACAAGCTACAAAACCCAGAGCAAGTTCACTCATCTCTCCAACTCTGTCTCTCAATGATAAAATGAAAAACGACACCAGTACCCACCTCAAAGGGTTACTGTTGTTGTTGTAAGGATCCACACACGTTTAACACAGTGCCTGAAACACAGAAAACAGTACATGCTGGCAACAATCGTCTTCCCGTCCTTTTTGATGGTGCTTCCACCCACACCTCCAAGAACACCTTTGTTTCCTTGGTAGGATCCCTTCCTGGGACTTCAACAGCTGAAAACTTCCAAGGTATATCCCATTCAATGCCAGAGCTCACTCGTGAGCTTCAGAAACCTCCTACACTTGGCGCTTTGACACGCATGCTTTCCTCCTGCCTGGAAAGGCTTCTATCATCCTCCAACACCGCGAGGCCTCACAGCAAACAGGACGGGCACTCCCAAGCTGAGCTTCCAGAAAACCTGTCACTCCGGCACGACCACGTGATCGCCCCCAAAGACCGTTGTCTTTCTACATCTCCGTACCCTCGTAAAGGTAGCGGCTGAGGCTCACGCGCGGTCACCCTCAGCAGAGACGACCTGACGCCTCTGCACAAGGAAGACAGCACAGCCAGGCCCCACCGCTGACAGGCCGGGTGACTCCAGGGCTGTGGATGACGCCTCAACCCAATTCTCCACGAGCAATAACCGCGCCTGGGGTAAACCCCTCGGGCCACGGCCCTCGCCCAAACTCCACCTGCAGGCAGCCTCCGTAGGCAGCAAATCCTCACCTGCACCCCATGATAAAGACACTTTTTAAAAATCTCAACGGGATGCTCGCTGACTAAAAGCACTAACGACGGGAGCGATCCAAAGTCGAGCCAGCTGGGTAAAACTGGACCCTGCGGTGACCGGAGCGGGGGACGCGCCAGAGGGTTCGACTCAGGGACTAGGAGGTCCCAGGCCGAGTCCGCGGGGGGCTCGGGGAGAGGGCGGGAGGGAGCGATGAGGACCCGCGGCCGGGAGGAACGGAGCGAAGCGGAGTCGAGAGGCGCCCCGGAGGAGCGCGAGAGCCTGCGCGTCCCGGGGCGAGGGTCGACCGGGTCTGCGGCGACTCAGTTTTCCAACGCGGAAGCGACGCAGCGGCCCAAGTGGCTCCGCTGGCTGCAGCCCCACATCCCCCGCGGCTCTCGCCTCCTCCCGCGGCCACAGCTTCTCCAGCCCGTCCGCCACGCACCTTCCCCCGCTTCTGGCTCAAAGCCCGCCCGACCGTGCAGCGCCCAGAACCGAGGGATGCAGCGCGGAGAACGCGGCGGCGGCGGCGACGCACGGCCCGCACACGCGCGCCAAATGTCACGTGCTCGCCCTTCCAGACACGCCCCCAAAACAGTCGGCTCCCCTGAGGAAACGCGCCTGCGCGCTGCCCACCAATGGCCAGCGGCCCTGGCGTTCGCGACCCGCCCTCGGGCTCCGGCTCCGGCGCCCCGCCGCCCCGCCCCCTCCAGCCCCACCCGCCGGCTCCGAGGCCGGAAATGACGACACTTCCAGGGAGGACGGAGGCGGGTTTCATTTCGGCGCCTTTCTTTGTCCCGCGGAAGCGATTGGCCGGCGTGGAGCGAAAGAGGCGGGACGAATTGCCGCGGGTTCAGTGCCGCCACTGGAACCGGGAGATGCGGCGCTGGGGCCGTCGCTGGGTCGGCTTTCACCTGGGTCTCCTCTCGTCTCGCGGCGCCTTCCGCGGTTGCGGTCATGTTGTTACCCTCGGACGTGGCCCGGCTGGTCTTGGGTGAGCGCGGGCGCGGGAGGGAGGGTCGTGGGACCAGGCTCGGCCGGACGGAAGGACCTTCGGGGCCAGCGGCTTTGCCGGGGTGGGGAAGCTTCGGGCTTTCGCCTCCCGGCTCGCGAGTTCAAGCGGGCGGCGATTCCTCGTCACTCGGAGGCTCCGGGCAGCCTAAGCCTCTTTGTGCGTGGATGCTCCTCTCCGAGGCTGCGTGGGGAGGGGAGGGGAGGGCGGCGGGGAGGCCCGGGGTGGAACACCTGGGCCCGGATCCGGTGGGAAACGCAGGCCCGCTCGCCCAGCTGGGACCCCTGAAGAGAGTTGTCTACACGGCGGGCGAGCTGCGTGTTCCTCGGCTTGGGCGCACTCCCCCGGGTCCGCGCTGGGACCATCGTGGCCCTCCCCCAGCCACCTAGCTTGGTGAGGAGACCTTCGCGACGCCCTTCTCGCCATCCGCCCTCAGAACTTCGAATTTGGGACTCGGGGGGCGATCTTCCTTCTCCAGCCCTCTTGCCGTGCGTCGGCCAGTGTAGACGAGCGAAATGCCACTTGCATATTTTGGAACAGCGGCAGCCCCTGCTCCTTGGGATAGCCAACGCGCACACACACACACACAGCAGAACAGACAAAAAACTCAGAGGGGGAAATGCCTTCCTGTCGAGCGTTCTCTAGCCCTCGTTAGTTTTTCCTCCATTTGAGGAGGCTTCGTCTTTGGGCCGTTTGTCTGAGTGTATTGTCCGTGTGGGAGACGGGTTTTGTTGCTGTTTGTTCCCTGAAAGAATAAAGAGGATTTGTACTGCTGGAAATGAGAGCCACGTAAAACCTAAAAGACCCGAGCCGGTGATTTACGGTCATCCTGTGCGACGCCCCTAAAAGTAAATGGCAGACATTTGTGATAAAACCTCCATGGTATCCACAGCCACGATTAACATTTGTGTTTTATTTTATTGTTTGGAAAACCCATTTTTCTTGTGTCTTCTTTAAATGCCCAGTGCTGTCCCTAAAAAAGATGAGGTTTGTGCAGGGCTCTTGATAAGCACATTTTGCAGGAAACATTAAGGGGAAATGGTTCCACCCTTCGTTTTTTTTCTAGAAACTAATGGCTCACGTTTAATGTTTGGTTAATCTTTTGCTTAAAAATATACAGTTTTGGCAGTTTGATAATCCGGTTGTGTTTTAGTGATCATAGTCTTAAACACAATTTCTCAACCTCAGTACTATTGACATTTGAGGCGGCATAGTTTTTATGGGGAACTATCCTGTGCTTAAACACTGTAGATGTTTAGCTGCATCTGTCCTACGAAATGCCAGTAGGACACCCATCTTCCCACCGTGCTCCACCGTTGCCCAGTTGTGATGAGGGAAAATGTCTCTAATTATTGACAGTATGTCCCCTGGAGGGTAAAATCACTTCTAGTTCAAGTTTTAAGAAAGTCATATGATGTTCTAATTGGAATAATTTACACCAACTTGTGAATATTCTTTCTTCACAAACCAGCTGCTTTGCTGACTTTCTACTTTTCTTTAATGGATAAAAACTCCAGAGTCATTGTTTTCTTATCCTAAAAATCTTCTCTGTCATTCACATTCCATTTTCACTGTCACCGACCTTAGCAGTATGCCTCCCATTATTTCTCTTCTGGAATTTTGTTGTGGCTTCCCATATCATCTTCCTTGCAACTCATCTTACTTACAGTTGTCACCAATCTTCCTAAAGCATTCATATCATACTTTCTATTCTAAAAGTTGAAATAACTGTACACATACCAAAAATTTCAGATTGTGCAAGAGTATATAATATCAAAAAAAAACTTTCCCGTGCTTATTGCACTTGCTTTTGTCATTTATCATTACACATCTTATGCATCTCTCATATCAACAAGTTTATTATTTACTTATGATTCTTCTGTTAATACCCCCTCCCTATCTTCAGCTCCTCTCATGTTGGGCCTATTTTCTTCATAGTGTGTTTTCAGCAAATCTGTAGTATGTTCCAATCACTACGCCAATTGCTAAACATAAAGGGAGGTTTTCTCCCCTTAGCATTCACATAAATAGGTTTTTACCCTTTAAACACATGCACTCAAAATACTTTTAGGGCCCCACCTCACATTCTGTCTTGTGCTGTATGTCACCTTTCACAAATCAAATGTAGTCAAAGAACGGTGAATTCCTTTCAGTTGCTCTGCCTCATGTACCTTTCATTCTTCAGGATACTGCACTCTGATTTTGCACCTCCCTACTCCATTTACACAGTCCTTACTACTCAGCTACAGCCAACTGTTGCCTTCCTGGAATTTTTAAAAATATTGTACAGGCCAAAATATGTCAAAGTGATGTTTATTGCCTCTGGGCTACTTGTTCGGTTTTCTTCAATATGTCTTACAAGGTGCTTTGTGGAGCTGATCCTACCTCTCCTGCTTGATCTCAGCTTCTTTCTTTCTTTCTTTATTTTAGTTGGAGTCTCACTCTGTCGCCCAGACTGGAGTGCAGTGGCCGCTCCCGGCCACCGCAGCCTCGACCTGCTGGGCTCCGGCGATCCTTCCACCTCAGCCTTCCGAGTAGCTGGAACTACAGGCGCGCGCTACCACACCCGGCTCATTTTGATTTATTGTAGAGATGAGGTCCCGCCAAGTTGCCCAGGCGGGTCTCGAATCCTCGGGCTCCCAAAGCACTGGGATTACAGGCTGAGCCACCAAGCCCGGCCTATCTCAGCTTCTGTGCTGTAGCCATACCTAATTACCGGAAGTTTTTCTGAATATTCTTATGTATTCTGCTTCTCCTTGTTTTCCTAGCAGACACTTGTATTCAAGGTTCAGGTCAAACATGATCTCTGAAACCCCATTCAGCAATTACTGTTAGAACTTTCTTCTTAAACGTTCCCACAGCGTTGTATTCTCTTCTACCCTTATCATGTCTTATTGTAGCTGTGTATATACTTTTATTTTTGTAAACTATACATAATAAAGTTCACCATTTTAGTCATTTTTAAGTGTATCGTTATTAAAGCACAAAACAATGAGTTGAGTTTTTTTCTGTTTTTGTTTTTTTTTTTTTGGTGTATAGTTCTGTGGCATTAAGTATATTCATTGTTTTGCAGCCATCACCACCTTCCATTTTTGGAACTTTTTCATCTTCCCAAACTGAAACTTACTTGCCTTTTTGTTTATTCGGTAGTCTTAACATTAAATTAATGGATGAGCTTCAAGAGTTCTGAGAGCCCCAAAACTGCCTGTAAAGTTTTTCCTAAACAGGTTATTACCATCTGTTATGAGTCAGCACACGTTTAAAAAAAAAAAAAAACAGAAACTAATCTGAGTATTTAACAAGGAAGGATTTAATGAGAGAATTGGTTACACAGGTGATAGAAAAGCTAAGAAACCAAGCAACTTACATGAGGCAACTCAGTAATTAGCAACAGTAGGAAGCCACTACACTAATCAGAAGGAAAGAAGAGAAAACAACCCAAGCCTGTGTTGACTGCCTGGAACATGCAAGGCTTATCAGATGAGGGGGCTGTAGTCATGCAGGAGTACTGAGGCAGAGAGGAAATGAAAGGAAAAAACATGGTTCTTCCTCCTACCCACCAGTGCTTCCCAATTCTGAACTCAGCCAGAAGCTGACAGATAAAGGAGCTTGGGATACATTGCCTGTATAGAATCAAACTTTATGTCATATAGTAGAGTGCAGGGCATGGATAGATTTGAGGTCAAACAGGACCGGAACAGGTCAAGAGCTGCTGGTTCTGTTCACCTTTATGTCACCAAAACATTGTATTTCATAAACATTTACAAAAGTACAACTGTGAATATGACATTCCATTTTGTCTACTAATATCTGTACTCATTGCTAACATAATTTCATGATCCTTACCCATTCTATATTTTCTGTTGTGTATCCATCCAGCTGTTCTTCATAAACTGTATGCTACATCCAGACTGGATATGTTCCCCAAACAGGCTCTACCTATATGCCTTCTATCAGCTTCTTTGGGATTCCATCCATCCTTTAGATTTTACTTCCTCCTTGAAACATTGCATAATTTCCCTCAAGCCTGATGGTAAATTTTCCAGCCCTTCTCTTCCCATGAAGTAATTCTCCAGCTCCTCTCGTCCCATGAAGTAAGCCAGCCTTATGTCTCTTAGTAAGTCATAGCTTTATAGATAGAGATCTCGTCACTGCTATTTGTGAATGTAGTAAGGTAAGGCTTCCAAAGAATTATTGCAATTTTTAAAGAACATTAAATCACTAGTATTTCTGGGGAATTAGCAGAATATGTGAAGGAGATATTTTCACATAGGGGGCTTTACTACCTCTTGGTTTCTTTAACCTCCTCTCTACTTTTTCCTCTCTATGAATAGGAAGGAGAAATACCCTTCACATGGTTAGGCTTTTATCTTTCCTTCTCTTTCAGTTGTATTTCCCCTTCTATTAAGTTACTCATTACTACCTCCACTTAAAAGTATGCTGAAAACAATACTGTATTAACTCAGGCACACCTTCTTATCCATTCAAACATCTTTGTCAGTGAGTTTACAAAAATATATAGTTCTTTTATTCTAAAGTTGTTTTTAGGAATAAAGGGGAGAAGCCATAATGAAATTAATAACTAATATTAATTAAAGAATAATGATGTTTATTATAGTGATGAGAGATGATTAATGCCTGGTTTGTATTTTCATTGTAACATTTGAGAGTTAGGATAATTTGTACCTAAAAATTTCTCCTATTACCTCATTAAGAACTGGTTACAATCAGATACTTAATAATGAAAAATAGGCAGGGCATAGTGGCTCAAGTTTGTAATCCCAGCACTTTAGGAGGCTGAAGAGAAAGGACTGCCTAGCTCAGGGGCTCAAGACTAGCCTGGGCAACTTGGTAAGACCTCGTCTCTACAATAAATCAAAAAATAAACCGGACGTTGTAGCGTATGCTGTAGTTCTAGCTACTTGGAAGGCTGAGGCAAAAGGATCGCCTGAGTACAGCAGGTTGAGGCTGCGGTGGCCATG